GGTTGTGTCGCCAGCAGATCCCAAATTCTGTTGGACTGACGATGACTGCGACACCAGCGAAGAGGATGTCCCCAACCCTTCCGCGGATCTCTGCGGCCCTGCCCCGGATGAGGCACCAGAGTGCTGAGAAGAACCTGACGCTCCTCCCCCCGCACCACCTGAAGACATCAACGGCGTAGTAGAACTACCCACCTCTGCCTGCACACTCGCCCGCATCTGCGTCACAAACTCCGGCTTGCGGCTGCAGTACTTTCCCTCAATCTCCGCCTCCGTCATGTCCCTCGCAACCGTCCTCAAGTCCCTCCAGTCACTCTCCGTGCAGTAGCCGCCACCCCACGCACCGACACCGCCGGCGGCGCAGCACAGCAGGCAGAGGGCAAACACCAACAGCACACGGCCAGCCATCCCCACTCTTGTCACCGAAGCACACGCACACGCACAGTCTAGCGAGGGGCAGAGAAAGAAATGAAAGAAAGGAGGGTGAGAGTGACACACACACGCACCAGGAAGAGGAGGGTTGTGCCCGCCAGCGTGGGAGACGCCTGCGCACGGCGCGGAAAAGCCACAAAACGGCACCGGGCACCGCCCCTGAAGGACGCAGCCGCCAAAAAAATAACCCTCAGCCGGTGTTAAACAAAAACTCCCCCCACCGGGCCGCATCCCCAACCACACACAAAAAGAGAGAAACAGTGGCCGACGCCGCCCACACACCAACACACACGACAATCCACGGCGGCAGTGGGGTCTGAAGCCGCCACCCGTCATCGCTGCACGCCTTGCCTCACTGCATGCCGCCTCTTCTTCGCCGCAGGGCATCTCCACCTCCGCACCTTCGGCACCCCAACAGCGACGCCACCAGCGCCCTGACCCTCGCCCCTGCCACCCCTCAAGAGACGATCGCCCACCGCCTGCTCCCCTCCCGCCGCACACGCTTACGCCGCTGCAACCAGCGATGCAGACGAGGCACGACGCCCCACAGGCGAGCCACGCCAACCGCACAGTCTGCCGCTGCTGCCTCTCCTCAAAGCAGGCTGCGATGGGTGCCGCCCCACGCACCCTCGCGGCGAGACGCGACTCACACTCCGTCCATTCTCCCCCTCCGCAGCGGAGAACCAAAAGAATCCTCCTCGTGCACTACCTGCGCCTCTCGCAGAAACAAAAAGAGGAATGGGGGCATGTCAGCAATGCAGCCAGCAGCGGCAGCAAACACAACACGCAGCGACAGCGGCTGGCACGGCGCAAACCAAAAGTGAGCCGCAAGGATTTGCCAAGCAAAAAAGAAGCCCAGAAAAAAACATAGCAAACAACAAAATAATAAAAAGTAGAAAAATTACTTCAGCAGACTGTTTGACTTTGCGTGTCCAAAAGCCCAAGAGGGCCGGTTGTGTATATTTATTGCCTGCGCTGAAACAAAAACAAAAAAGAACCGCCATGTTCCACAAGCCCGCACATCCCTCCCATAATTCGTGCGGTATGAGAAATGCGCCTCAATGTGTCGGCTGCGTCGTCAGTGGGGCAAACAGCAATGTGGGCGTCACTGCGCGCGGGTGAGAAAAAAGCAAACAAGAGGGGAAACCCGCCATCCGTGACGCCGCGCCTACGGCAAAGGGCCATTGAAGCAAAAAACACATAAAAGAAAGAAAAAAAGGGGTTCCGATTATCCCAGCAAGGCACCAGCAGCAAGAAAACAAAAAAAGAGGTATTAATGAAGTGAGTCGCTGTCGGTTCTGCAGCACACATTTTTACGCGACATAGAGAGCGGCAATGCCCCACAGCCCAATCAGCGCAAGCAGCAGTACATGAGGCACACACCCACGCACGGCGCTGTCGTTGTTCCCTTCATCGAGCCTCACGCCAGTAATGTTCCTGAAGGTAACGGAGACGTTGCCAGAAAGCGATGCCGCGTTGCGTGTCGGGGGAATCGCCTGAGGTTCGGGCGAAGCGGTTTTATTGACCGGCGCGTTGTCAGCTCCCTGCGACACTCCCTCATTCTTTTCAAAAGGAATTTGAACTGTGCCGGACGGAAGAGTGTCGCGTGTCTCCTCCGCGGGAGTCTTCTCAGCGTCACTGCGTGGAGCAGGGCTGCTGCCTGAGCCCACCACCGCTTCCGGGTTAGGCATCTGCTTCTCAGTGGCGTTGTCCCCGGCGCTTGCAGGCTTCGTCACGAGAGCATTTTCCTCACCATCACCGCCAGACGTTGGCGGAACCTTCGGCATTATGACTGGCGTCGTAGCACCCAGCTGTGGAAGAGGGACTGTGTTTGCATTGCCTTCCCAGATATCCTTTATGCTAAGTGCCTCGTTGTACAGCAGGACGCTGAACATCGTCACATCGTGGCTGGTCGCTGTGCCTTCCGCCGCACTGCCACCGCCAAAGTAGAAGTGCGATATGCGGTGCGACTTGAACAGGGCTTCCACATTCTTAGAAACGGTGTCCTCCTCCTCATCATCGCTGTCGTATATATTGGCCCCGTCAACGTACACAGAGAACTCATCGTCCCTATTCATTTTCAGTACCACCTGATACGTTGTGCCAGGCCGCCACGTACCAACTTTATCTAACAACTTCCGAGGCTTTCCGTTGACGGTCACTCCCCACTTCTTGTCCTTCGTGTAAAACAGACCAACAAGCACAGTGCTGGCATTGTCATTCATCCTCACACCCATCAAAGGAGTGTCTGCCTCCGGCACTGCGTTAATCATCACCATCGCCACAAGAGTGAGCTCGTTGTTCGCAAAGTAGTACGGTTGGTTCTGCCCCAGTTTGCCCACCGGCCACTCCGCCCCCGCCCCAGCGCCTTTGAACGTCACGCCCCCCTCCGTGCTCGTCACTGTCTCACCCTTCACCGTTGCGTTCACTCCGAGGTACTCGTCCTTCCATACTTTCCCAGCATCAGTTCCATCCGTTAATGTGTTGGACAAAAAGCCAACCAGCCCTTCCGTGGTAACAGGGCCCTTACACACATTCTTTCTTCTCAGTGGGTCGACGATCCCAGTGGAAGTGCAACCTTCTAGTGCGGTGTCCATATCTTCCCAAGTTTTCACCACTTCTTTTATCCGTTTCAGCTTGTCAGTCAGGCGCACAGAGACAAGGCTGTATGAGTCTTCCTCATTCTTATTTTCGTACAGTAAAATCAACTCCTCCTTCTCTTTTTTTCTGTACAGCAGAGAGCTGGCGGCAGCGTCGTGCTTTTCACTGGATACCGGTCCAACGTCATGCACACGGGTATTGTCTGTCACCCAAAGATGCAGCCGGCCCTTTTCCTTTCCTTTTTCTTCCTTCGAATACACCGGCGTGGTGAGGAGCACCACCTTCTTATCCTTGATGGTTGCGGTGATGAAGCCGCTTCGCACGCCGTCCTCTTGGCGGTCCAGTGAGGTGCCCCACACGCGAGTGATTGGCGCACCGTCACGCCAGCTTCTGCCGGCCCCAAGACCCGTGTACACGTCGTAGTAGCCATCCTCGCAGGGAGCCATCATAAGAAGTTTTTGATATCCTTCCCACTCCGCAATGGATGGATTCCTGCAGCCATCATTCTCCGTCGCCTGATGCGAAAGCTTCCATTTATTCTCCGACTGACTGAAGCGCATGGACAGCAAGATATTCTTTCCATTCTTTTCTGTGGCCTGCATAGGGAACACAAGCGTGCCATCCTGCAGCACGACACCCGACCCTCCACCAGTAAATAACTTCGTCCAGGAGGAATGAAGTCCTAAAGACGCGGTATTTACTGCATAGGTCTCATTCCATTGGATTTTCTTTTCGTTACTGTCACTAGTGACACGCCCCTTCACCAGCAAAAGCCCCCAATGCTTGTTGCTAGCGTCTTTACCCGCAGCCGTTGTGCGGCTGTATTTTCCCAGCAGCATGTAGATGTCTTTGTCATCCACAAGTGTTGTTGGCCGCATTATATCCACCGCCTTGGCACTTCCCGTCTCGCCTCCCTTCAGCGTCTTTATGTCAAATGAACTCGCATCCGCCGTCAACGCCTCCGCTGTAACACCGCCAACGTTGTCGAGGCGCTTTGACGCAATCCCAGTGATGCACTCGGCACCGCTCTCATTCTTCTTGCACTGAGCCTCCGCAACGGCAAACACAGCACCGTCCACCTCCAAAAGGCTGGGGACACGCAGCGAAGTGACCGACCCACCAGCTTTTTCCCATTTAGCACCGGTCACAATCTTCGTCCCTGTAAATGGGTTCAAGACACCCCTTTGATCATTGGCCGCAGCCCCACTTCCGCTACACCATATCGGCAGCAAGCAGAGGAGGAGCAGCACCGTGGAAGAAAACAGCTGCCGGAGCATGTTGTGTGAGCGATGTGTATGTATGGTGCTGGTAGTGACTGCAGGTCTCTAAAAGCGCAGAGTAGCAAGTAGCGTTTAATCTCTTTCCTTCCACGTGTGTGTGGGTATGGGGTGGGTGGGGCAAGAGAAACAGCAAGAAGCAAAACAGGGACGCCACCCATTGGGATATGCAGGAAGAGGCAACAAAAAAATAAAACAAAAAAAAGCAAAGGAGTACCCCTCAAAGCACAGGAGAGGAGTTGGCCCACAGAGACGGCACGCAAACTCGGTGCACAAACACTCTGCGTCGCCCTGCCAGGGTGTGTGTGGGTGTGCGGTTGCCCCGCAGCAGTCACTCCCCAGCAGTATAGGCAAGAGCAGCCGTCAGCAGCAGCAGCAGCGTGGCACGCACCCACACAGTGAGCGTGTCGCTGCCGTCCGCGTTGCCTTTTGTGTGTTTCCCACCACTGGGGCTGCTGCTGGTCGTGGTTGTAGTGGCGCTTCCACCATCGCTGCCAGCGGGAGTGTCAGGAGTGGAGGTGCCGGATGGCTGTGCGGAGGCTGAGGGTGCTTGCGCCGCACCGTCTCCTGTGGCTTTTGATGAATCCGCAGCGCCAGTCGGTGATGTTAATGTTCCCTGACTCCCTGTGGATCCCGTACTGCCTGACTGCTCAGCAGCATTAGGAGCAGGGACTCCAGTACCTGCACTGCTGCCTGCCGAACTTCTGCCCTGCTGAGTTCCCTCCGAAGATGACGTTATTGCCGCTTGTGATTGTGGTTGTTGGACCCCCGGAGTTTGTTGTCCAGGTGTCACTCCATCTGCGGGTTGTATGTGTAATAACTCACACCTGCCTGAAGTGCTAACTGGATATTCCTTAGTTCTGTCGAGGATAACGGCTTCGCAGTTCGACAGCTCGGAAGGTTTACTGTTACCATCCGTCGTACAGTTCATCGTGAACGCAGCATGATTAGTGATCTTCAATTGTGGGGGTGAAGGATAATTCTTCCCCAAGATGATGGAGAAACACCATGATTCTGCATGTGTGCAGATGGATTCGCTTTCACTGCTGTCTGCACTGGCCGTCTCAACCTTGCGAAGCGCATAATAATTCACCGTCTGCGAACACTCCTTCCAATTACTCTTGCCAGAAACACGCCAACTTAATTTTCCTTTATTGTTCTGACACAAGACATCCACTGCATCAGATCCCGATAACGTCGCCCCGCACACGGAGAAGCAGCAGCCGCACAGCAGCGCAAGCACCGCCAGGGCATACACCGCACGGCGCCGCAGTGTCGCCATCCCCATCCGTCGTGGTGTTGGTGGTGGTGGTGGTAGCAGAGTCGCTGGGAGCGCTGGTCTGATTTATCAGGCAGCGGCGGAATGAAGGAAAAAAAAAACTAGAAAGAGAGGGAAATGGGAGTATAGGCAGTAAAGAGTACACCAAGGAAGTATACAACGGACAAAATGCGGAGATGGCGGCAACTTGCCGAGCACGTTCAAGCGCCTTTAGTAACGCCATCGCGTGGAAGGAAAAGAAAAAAAGGGAAACAAACATAAAAACGGCGCCACCGTAAGATCACGGGACGCAGTGCCCCCTCCGCGCGGCAGGGCAACCAACCGGGCACAACCCGCATCCGCAAATAAAGGCAAAATGCACCTAAAAATAAACCCTTAAATTACTTAGACAGAACCGCTATCCGCCAGCTGCCCTCGCTGCCTCCCCAACCTTCTCCTCCTCCTGGACCTTTGCCGCCCTTCACAACCTGCTCTACGCCACGAACGCCCCGGGGCGCTGCTTCTCGCGGCGCCGCAGCATCCCGACGGGTTCGCGTTACCCAGTTCGTGAGAATTGCGGTGCCTCCTCCATAGCACTGGCGAGAGTCCACCCTTGCCGCTGCGGTGTCACTTCTAGCCTTTGGCGCTTTGCAGGGGACTCCGTCCGAGCCGCCAAACGGCCTCAGCCTCCCCACCACGCCCAACGCCTTTCTCACCGTGGCACATTGGTTGCTAGACTCGCACAACACCGCAAGGTCCCCAAAAATAGTTGTAACTGTGGCGCCCCGCGCGCCCAACACGGCTGCACTGCAGCGACAAAAAAGAGTCAAAATTCAGTCATATTTTCCTCCTTATAATTAACGGATCTGTCTTTTTTCCTTCTCAGTAGCACTCAAAGCACAGCCTTCACAACCACAAATGAAGGAAAAAGAAGAAAGACACGAGCACAAAACACCCTGCCGTAGGACAGCATTCTCTTCCAAACACCAGCATCGGCGCACAACAGATGGTGATGGTCGCTTTGCGAGGAAGAGACTACGATGCACATAGCCTCGTCAATAACAAGACAAGAAAAAGGCTGCGGACATGCATCCCCACGTTTTACCTTCCCACCGCCCGATTGCCGCATCCCCGCGTAAAGTAACAAAAAAAAAGTCCTACTACCGCTCAAACTCATTTAAATCCTCCTCGCAAATAAATCCAAGCGTCATGCCTGCAAAAAGAAGTTATTCGAAGCTCCTCCGCCACTCCCGGAAAAACACAAAACCCTGCGGAATAAAAGCGGCAACACCCTTTCCTGCTGCTTCGTTCCGGTCGCAAGCGAGGGCGACACCAGCGCAGCCGTAGCCTCAGACTGCCCGATCAGTGCGTGCAGCCCAAACAAGACGGAACAGGCGCATGTGCCCAGGACGGCAACCCAACAAAAGAGAGACGCCAACTGCGTTCGCTCGAGGCTCTCAGCGGTGCATGCGGCACCCCCCATTGGAGCACAGACGAACCAAAAACGATGGCACCCAAAAAAACAAAAGAGAAAAACACCACGCCAACGCACAAAAACAATTTCAGAAATTCGGTTTGCCCCTGACCTCTGGGCTGTGGTGGCCACCACATTTGCTTTCCCGCCTGTGAGCCCACTCAGCATGCAAAACTTACCCTCTCGCCCAAACTCTCTGCAGCAACAAACTGGGAACAGCGAGGAGATATCACCAATGGAATACTGCCGGCGTACACCCACAAGGTGCCATCATTCCCCACACAATTTTACTCGTAACCACAACAAAAAAAAAAGGTGCTGCTGTGGTAGTGCTGGCCATAATAATCATTTGGCGCACGGCAGAACGAGTCCTCCATTACGCCTCCTACCCACACACAAAGTAAGCAACGATATAAATTGTTTCCCTGAAATACGTCACCAGAAAAACAATCCGCTACGCTCCTTCCAAATGCACCAAATTTCTATCGTATCCTCCAATTGTTGCTCTGTTAAAACATTTTCGACATCTGCACAATTTTCAGTCGATACTGTCACCTCGTACTCACGCACCCTTTCACACAACTCTATAATCTCCTTGTTTTTGTTGGTGGACAGAGTTACTGAGATGTTGCACCTCTGCCACGTGCCTATTGGCTTGCTATTTGCATGCTGCACGTAAAAAATATCCCATGACAGGTCTTTGGCAAAAGCCTCCCAATCATTAAAATAGCTTACCAGATACACGTTAAGCTGCCTTACTTTGCTGACATCGGTGTGATGCCTACCCGCAGTAGTCATCTGCATCCCAACAACCGTCCTCAGTGTCTCCACAAAAAAAAAAACATCAAACACCGGAAAGTTTTTTCTCGTCAGCACGTATAGAACCCCGTAGTTCACATCAATCCTCTGAGTTACCGCAGTCTTCAGTTCCTATTTAAGCTTTACCTTGAAATACCTCCCAATGATGTCGTTGCAAAAGGCAGCACTGTTCAGGACGAGCTGTTGGTGGCTTCAGCTTCTTGAGTTTTGTTACTATCGAATCAACAAAGGTGTGTTTCGTAAAAGCGTCCAGGGCATATTTTTCTAAAAATATATGACAAAACATTATCCCACGACTCCAATATTAGCAAATAAAAGTCTTTCTTCTTCATTACCCCCTTCAAACGGTCCGCTCTTATCCACCCAAGGCGTTCACTTATCATTGCGCATAGGAAGGTGTCGGTACCTTGTGGGGTTTTTGACAATTTTCACAAGCTTGTGAGACGGATTCTCAGAAACCCACATTTCCGTACATTTCTGATTAAAGTACCATTCAACATCCGAACTCTTGAGATTTAGCAAAACAACACCAACGACCAGACAACGTGTCATCTTGCTCCTCTGTAGGCTGGTGACGCATCCTCCACACACACATCGCCTTCACACTAAGCTCGTCATGATAATTCATAATGGCTCCATTAATAGTCTTGTTGCTCACCCATGCATCATAGTTATTTTTGATTAATGATGACAACGCAATAATGCCCCACATAGAGAACGGCACAAAATTATTCGATGGTTCTTCAATATATCTTGCCATATCGATGATGACACACCGTTTCATTCCACTTCTGGCCTTATTTGCCATAACATCGCCAATATTATTCTCACCCTCGTATATCGTCACCGTTCGTGTCCTCTTGTCAAACAAGTATGCAAAATCTCTTTCAAAACACTACACAACCACATGGAGCTTCGTGGCGTCGTAGTGCAGCAGCTCATAAAGGAGATAGGAGCCAGCTGCTATTGACTTCCCTACCCCGGGGGTTCCATAGCAGGAGACGCAACCTCACTTTGAACTCTTCTAGATCTTCGCTGCTAAACAATCCTTTTAAATCGCTTTTGACAATACGCCACATTCGATCCGCCTCGGTGATAACATCGCAGTTGTTCATATTCATTCCTCTCAAACCACAGGTACGGCTATTCCTCCTAGGAGGTGAGCACAACCAGTTTGGGAGGGATGGAAAGACCTTTTCTGCAATGCCACATTTTTCCATAGTTCAATCATCCACCTTTTATGCCCACGGTTGCGGTTCCTTGCCTTCCTGTAATGCCATTTCCGACTGCTTCCCATCGCAACCACTAACAAAGTGATATCCAATAAGCATGAAAAGCAACAAAATGTGACGAGCCTGCGCACAACTTCGCGTTTAATTGCTGCGAGGACGAGATATCGTTATCGTCGCAGCGGGAGGCGCTGCAGTGCAGCCGTGTTGGGCGCGCGGGGCGCCACAGCTACAACTATTTTTGAGGACCTTGCGGTGTTGTGCGAATCTAGCAACCAATGTGCCACGGTGAGAAAGGCGTTGGGCGTGGTGGGGCGGCTGAGGCCGTTTGGCGGCTCGGACGGAGTCCCCTGCAAAGCGCCAAAGGCTAGAAGTGACACCGCAGCGGCAAGGGTGGACTCTCGCCATTGCTATGGAGGAGGCGCCGCAATTCTCACGAACTGGGTAACGCGAACCCGTCGGGATGCTGCGGTGCCGCGAGAAGCAGCGCCCCGGGGCGTTCGTGGCGTAGAGCAGGTTGCGAAGGGCGGCAAAGGTCCAGGAGGAGGAGAAGGTTGGGGAGGCAGCGAGGGCAGCTGGCGGATAGCGGTTCTGTCTAAGTAATTTAAGGGTTTATTTTTAGGTGCATTTTGCCTTTATTTGCGGATGCGGGTTGTGCCCGGTTGGTTGCCCTGCCGCGCGAAGGGGGCACTGCGTCCCGTGATCTTACGGTGGCGCCGTTTTTATGTTTGTTTCCCTTTTTTCTTTTCCTCCCACGCGATGGCGTTACTAAAGGCGCTTGAACGTGCTCGGCAAGTTGCCGCCATCTCCGCATTTTGTCCGTTGTGTACTTCCTTGGTGTACTCTTTACTGCCTATACTCCCATTTCCCTCTCTTTCTAGTTTTTTTTTTCCTTCATTCCGCCGCTGCCTGATAAATCAGACCAGCGCTCCCAGCGACTCTGCTACCACCACCACCACCAACACCACGACGGATGGGGATGGCGACACTGCGGCGCCGTGCGGTGTATGCCCTGGCGGTGCTTGCGCTGCTGTGCGGCTGCTGCTTCTCCGTGTGCGGGGCGACGTTATCGGGATCTGATGCAGTGGATGTCTTGTGTCAGAACAATAAAGGAAAATTAAGTTGGCGTGTTTCTGGCAAGAGTAATTGGAAGGAGTGTTCGCAGGTGGTGAATTATGATGGGTCCCATACTGCTGAGACGGCTAGTGCAGACAGCAGTGAAAGCGAATCCATCTGCACACATGCAGAATCATGGTGTTTCTCCATCATCTTGGGGAAGAAAACTCTTTCACCCTCATAATTGAAGATCACTAATGATGCTGCGTTCACGATGAACTGTACGACGGATGGTAACAGTAAACCTTCCGAGCTGTCGAACTGCGAAGCCGTTACCCTCGACAGAACTAAGGAATATCCAGTTAGCACTTCAGGCAAGTGTGAGTTATTACACATACAACCCGCAGATGGAGCGATGCCTGGACACCAAACTCCGGGGGTTCAACCACAAACAGCAACAACGCCATCTTCGGAGGGAACTCACCACGATGGCAGTTTGGCAGGCAGCAGTGCAAGTACTGGAGTCCCTGCTCCTCATGCTGCTGGGCAGTCAGGCAGTGCGGGATCCACAGGGAGTCAGGGAACATTAACATCACCGACTGGCGGTGCGGATTCAAAAGCCACAGGGGACGGTGCGGTGCAAGCACCCTCAGCCTCTGCACAGCCATCCGGCACCTCCACTCCTGACACTCCCGCTGGCAACGATGGTGGAAGCGCCACTACAACCACGACCAGCAGCAGCCCCAGTGGTGGGAAACACACAAAAGGCAACGCGGACGGCAGCGACACGCTCACTGTGTGGGTGCGTGGCACGCTGATGCTGCTGCTGACGGCTGCTGTTGCCTGTGCTGCTGGGGAGTGACTGCTGCGGGGTACCCGCACACCCACACACACCCTGGCAGGGCGACGCGGAGTGTTTGTGCACCGAGTTTGCGTGCCGTCTCTGTGGGCCAACTCCTCTCCTGTGCTTTGAGGGGTACTCCTTTGCTTTTTTGTTTTCACTTTTGTTTCAATGGTCGTTTGCTACGCACATCCCAATGGGTGGCGTCCCTTCCCCCTCCTGTTTGCCGCTGCCATCAACACACGCACGCTGCCGGCCTCGTGGCTGTGCGTTCCACGGACTGCCCA